TTGTGAGTCACAGACAGGCCACAATTGCGCCTAAAGCTGAAGCAAAATCATGTTTGCGTTCAACATTGTCAAAAGGCACCTCCATCCTCCTTATACTTTCAATTGCACTTCTTAAAAATCTTGTCCATTTTAAATATTTTTTAATATAAATCTATTTTTTTCCAATTCCTGGAATATATCATGAAAACATCTTCAAAGCTTAAATACTTGAAGAAACTGCATAATTCACAGGGTACAACTCTGACAAAGTAGCCAAGTCTGAGGAGCAGTGCAGCCACTGAATTTGTATGAGAAAGTTCAAGGAAGTTTCCAGATCCTTCTGAACTAAAGCTTTGCTGGCTTTTCACAATATACTTTTGAAAAGCCAACAGAAAATGGCTGGATTCAGACAACACAAGACACCATGGTGGTATCTCACCATGGAAAGTTTGTCTTTAGAAACCATGATAAGAAACAGTGGTTTGTTCTATGGTTTCTCTGTACCACCATGGTCTTTCAAGTTATTTGAACCCAGAACCATGGTTTCCAGGGTCGTGGTATGCAATTACCATAGAGTCTGCTGGGAAAAGTGACAACTGAAGGAGCTGTTCCAGCCACTCAGCTTGTATGTGTAGACCAAAGAGGAAGAGACAGGTGACAGAAACCACTTGATCATTTGATGGGTAGATTATAGCAAAAAACCACAAACCATGATAACCACACAGGGTTTGTTATTGTATTGTGTATTACCAGTGTGCCTGGTAACAGCCTTACTGTAACTTCACTCCCATCACCAATTGCATAAATTGCTTATGTACAAGCAATACTCTGGAGAGTATTAGGAACTCTGACTAAGCTTAGGTCAATTGAGTGAACTCAGGCAGACAAACTTAAGTACTGTGCAGTTGCTTTGCTTCCAGATTCAAGAATTTCCTTGAACAGCCCTCTGTGGTCTACACAATTCTCATGAGTCCTAAAAAAAGCAAAACTGGGAGGATTTTGTACAGCTTCATGTGTTACTATTATTCACAGTACAGATTAAAAAAACAAACACAAAATAGGAACTTTCCATTTTTAAGGCATCAAATGACCTATTCAGGTAGAGGTTCTCCTAGACTGAGGATTTCAATGTGAAACACATGAAAATTCACCTCATTTCTCATGTTTCTTTGAGCACACAAGGAAGGATGCTATATAACTATGTGGAAGAGCATTTGCCTTGCATAAAAAAGAGCCAGGTTTAATCCCTGGCATCCTGAGTCAAAAGAGTTTTTGATAAGAACACTTTCCCTGAGACCTTGGTGAACTATTACAAGCAAAATTAGAAAATGCAGGTCTATTGACTCAGTATAAGGCCCATCCTATGGCCTATAAAAATACACCCTGGATTCTCTTGCTATAAAAGCAAAATCACATTTTGTGTTTCTACAGTCTATCTTTTAAATTACAAAGTTCTCCTTATTGCACAATCCACTGGATTTCCTTGTCTGCAATATCACAATTTATAAAGGATACAATATAATGTTGTTTATCCAAATTATGAAATAACTATGCAGCACACAAAATTATGGACTGGTTGTCAAGAAGCATGAATATGAAACATGGTAATGCAACTTCACGTACAGTTATGGCTGAGTTATTAACTCTCAACCCAAAACACATTTTAAAAAATTATCATATTGGGCTGTCTATAATGCACAATGATTGTTACACAGAGTATTTTATGGGCTTAAGCTTAATTCTTTTACATTTGTGATCCTTAAGTTTCATAAATTAATTCAAGTAAGCAACATTAGCTCCATTTCTTAACTAAATGGATTGTTTTTGACAATGTTTATTATTGTGTCTGAATACTTACTGCAAGCACTCCAAAATAGCAGGTTGCATAAATATGAAAGGTTAAATTATTATTCTTTGCCATACATTTTCTCTCAGATGCAAAGTTGCCTTTGCAAATTTAATACACACACAGTGGGTGCAAGGGATATTCCAGACCACTAGAAAATAGAGTTAAGCTGACAGAAGATTTGGTGGATCTAAGATACTATGCACTAATATGGGTCATTCTTCCAAATCCTAGTTTGGTGTATTACTATTAAGAAAAAGTGTTCTGTGGAATATTCCCATGCATGGGTTATGGAAGCTTGTTACATGTTAAACTGGTAGTACTTCCACTTGTGATTAATTACTCATACAGGTGTGATATTGACCATGTGATAGGGTGTGTGAAGTAGAGCTGAAGCCCAGGCCTGCTAGGTAACAGTTTCCCCAGCTAGCTAGCTCAAATTTGTAGTGGGAGGGGGATGAGCATGAATTAGCAAAGCCTTCTGATTTGTCAAGAACACCATGAGAGATTACTCAGACATAGTGTGGGTGCCAAATAATATTGGAGTAAAAGAGAGATGCTGGAAAAGGAAGGGGTAGAGATCAAGAACGAGCTCTTATCAGGAGGCACCAGGCCAAGAGAGTGGGCTAATTAAGTATTGTCTGCAATTCCAGCTTTCAAGCAGCATGAGCCACCCTGAGGGAGGAGTCACATCCTTTCCAAAAAGAAGGAAGGGAACATTTTGTTTTGGATTTAGCCCTTCACATGAACTGATACTACTCCCACATATCAAAGGGATCATAACTTTAATTTATGGTGTGTATAAACCTGTAGAGCTCAATAAAGCACTGTATATACACATAAGGTTTCATCTAAGTCCACTAAGAGGGAAAAAGGAATTGGAGGGATGAATAAGGAGGGTTTATATGTGTTGGAAATCTATGTGTGGTTGGCAATAGTCTTGTGGAGAAGGAACTTCCCCTCCAGTATGAAGAAAATATTTTTACAAACAACTGAAGAGAATTTTATTTCAGTTTGATTTTGATAAGATTTACAAGAATCACCAAACTTCCCATTTTGAAGACAATTCACATGTGGGGAAAAACTGAAACTGACCAATTTGTCCAGCTGGGCAAATTCTGGATTTCAATCCAACTGTATTCATTGATATTATTGCTGAATACTAAGAATGTACTAAAAGTCACAGTGTTCTTCATATTCTGAATGGAAAGAACTTGAGGTCCTAATAATTCAAATGTAGAATAAAGTGAAGCTGATTGGTTCACCACTGCCTAGTTTTTGCAAATGTCTAATCCCATGGAAGTCCTATCTTTATAATCATTTCTTTGTCACTCCTTCTCTACCAAAGAAAGCTTTCCTACTGGCCTAGGTATTATGAACCAGGCGTAAGTCTACAACAGTTGACTTGTTCTGTTTAAATGTGGAAAGGAGCGTTGCTGATTTGTACTCTTTTACTGCCCAGAGCAGCATTCAGTCCCCAGGCCAACCATACCATTTTACTGCCTGTTATAGGGAAAATTACTAGAGACTCGTTTTTAAGTCAATACAAACCAGAATTTTGGAACCTCAGATGTGAAACATTTCTGCGTCAGCTCTGTAGGTTCAACCCGTTTCACGTGCTGAGGTTGGTCAATAAAACTGAAGAAAACAGATTTTAAGCCTTTTAGTCCTAAGAATGAAAATATCTAATCTTAAAAAAATGGCAATAATTGACTGGGAAGATATTAACCCCCCATACTTTTTTTTTACTATTATCAATTGAAAGCAAACTAGCAATGGTGGTATGTCAGGTCATCTGAATGCTGTCTACTTCCTGTAGGGTGGCTTTTTCATAGAAGCCATGCTGAGAATCCATGGGCTGTTTTAGGAATTGTTTTACCTACTATTAGTTATCATGTCTTCTGAACCAAGGTCACTAATCCCACCATGGTTAACAGGAAACAGCAAGTGGGGCCATCCAAAAATGATAGCAACAGACCTGCTGCTCCTTAGTTGTCCACACACCCCTTTAAACTATCTTGTGCCCTTAATGTGGACAAAACAGGGGGTTTGAACAGAGAAATGTATATATGAAACTTATATATTTCCTTGTTTAAACTACACTTGATATATCTTCCTTAATCCCTCTTGGTTTGTTTTTAAAAGGTTCTACTTTTGACAGCTAGAAAAAGCAAATTTCAGTGAAACAGAGAGTGACTTGACAGCTCACTTTTTGACAGATGTTAAGTGAAGGCATGGGGGGGAAATTATCTGGAGCCTCTTTGGGTTACTGTTCACAGTTGGTACATGCCACAGGTTAGCAGTGGGAGCTCACAAAGACATTGACCAGGAGAGGCTTTGCATTTCAAGCTCACTAGGGGATATGCTTGCTCATTTGTGCAAGAATGGCTAGAAAAAGAAATCAAATGTATTTTTGGAGTGCATTTAAAAAAGGAGTGGCTGCTTGAGCATGTTGGTGGGGCTGTTGCTGGCTATCAGTTCAAATATTGCTGTTTACAATGTTCTGGAAAAAAATAGTAAAGAGGGGGGAAACCTGAGCTATAAAGTGGCTCATGATTGCACAGGGAAGAGGAGACAATGTAATTTCAGCTGCCAAGCCCAGTGGAATACTGCCTGGAGGACTGAAGGAGGAGGAAGGGGAGAACAACCTTCGCTGAGCTCAGTCATCTGTCAGGCACTCAGTGGGCATCTTGTGAAACAACTAACCTGCCATGGCTTATTGCCAAGGTGGGTTAATATGATGTAACTCAAAAGATCTTCATTCAGGTGGCTAAGAACAGAAATAAACTTCCATGAATATTTGTCATGCTGGATGTCAGAACATCTGTTTCTAACTTTAAGGCCCTCAAATTTATTTGGGCATTTATGAAATTTAACCCTTGATTGTTTGGGAAAAACAAACCCCAGTTATGTTTTTGAAAATGTGGTCTACGAATAAGAAAAAGTTATAGCAAGCAAGCTTTTTAAGAAGAAAACTGATAAGGTACCCAGTTCCTACTCTGTGCATATTTCTAAGTTTTTCATGGTGAAGGGAAAAGTTTACTAAACAAAAGGGTGCTTAACTTTAATAAATCATATTTTGGGATATCTCTGCCAATGTTCTATTGAATGATTTTCAGATAGAATGAATGTTTTGTCATCAACAGGCTATTGTGCATCATAACAGTTCTCTTACCTAACAGTGTGGTCGATGGAACAGTGTCTGATGATACTTTGAGATGAAATTCCATTTGCGCACAGAACACGGATCAATGGAACCCAAGAGAAGGTCAACAGGAGAAAACAAATGTGGAAAATGAAATAAGAATACAAGGTTAGCTATTTCCAACATCCCAAAGACTTCTCTACTGCCATAGTTTGGTATCTACAGGGAAATGTGCAAAAGCAAAGACAATCAAGAATAAAGTCTGGCATAAGTACCTGAGTAGTAGGAATTCAACAAAGATTTGCTCTGAAGGGTTTTGCTTTGGACAGAAAATGAACAAGGAGAGGATGGTGCTAGGTAGGAAAGACATAAGGAAGAGACTTTAGAAATGTATATAAAGAGAAGTAATAGAACAAGGACAGAAATGTTTCAGAGAACAGAGTAATATTGAACAGCATAATCAAAGTGATTGGAAGGAAGCACATTCTTCTAGCAATACAAGTCATTTTCCTTAGTCTAAATTGAATGGCCCGAAAACCTTTAGAATTGTAAATTTACAGCAGAGATGAACAAAGTTGCACTTACAAGATGCTTTTGCTATGCAAGATTTTCCCAATCTTTTGCCCCTTGGGATATTAGATTTTAACTCCTGTCATGCCAGCCACTATGGCCATTGTGACTTTGTATGCTGGCTGAGGGTGATAGGAGTTGTAATCCAACATGTCCTGAGGGCACCAGGTTGCTATAGGCTGTGGTGTTATTTATGGACTTACATTCCCCCTCTCCAAACACCACACATACATTTAGAGAACTTCAGAATAAGAGCATAAATAATAAAATCCATAGGTTATAGCAAATTATGGAGTGTTCACTGTTAAACATGCTTTGGGAGATGGGCTGAAGGAGTTTAGTATCTCAATACAAACACCAAAACATGATTTTCAAATAGACGAGCAGATAAAACAGAAGCCTAGTCTTCAAACAAATGCATCTCAACATCATGAGTATGCCTGAAATAGCGTAGAAATTGAAAACAAATTCTTCAGATGTTAAGATTCTAGTGGCCCTCCCTAGGGCTAGAATAGCCTCATCATCACTGTTTATCAGGCCAGTTCCTTCCCCTCTTTTGGGTCTGTCCTTATGACCCATGTTATATTAAACTCCCAGTCTGTTTCATCTTATGTGCATCTTGGCTGCCACCTGACACCTCCCAATTCCCTTTCTCATTACTCAAAGACCATTCCCGACCTGACTGCTATCCCTTTCTTTCCACTGAACAGCTAATGTAGAAACTGTGATACTTTGTGTTCCACTGTACCTTAAAGAATAGTTTTTGCACTTGCAGAAAAATGGGTGGCAATTTGACTGTAATATATTTCAGTAACTGCTGGATTCAAAGAAAGAAGATGAGACAGCTGAATCAGTTCACAGATGAACTTTAATTATTTCCATTTAGAGGTCAAAGGCAAAGGTCATTCTTAAATGAGTATGAGAGTGTTATTGCATAACATCATTGTTGTTGTTTATTAGATAACATCATCATTGTTGATTAGGTAAAATGTATTTATCTAATCAACAAAATGCTCAGCAAGCAGCTACTTCTGAATAAATGCACAGAGTGCCTTAGAGGGACCTATGCATAATGACAATAAGGTATTATAGGACTGGCATTTCATCTGTGAAGTAATGCATCTAGTCAGAGAAAGCAGTGCTAATTCATACATCTGTAACCTGTAGACTTGACTACTGAAAGAAATGTATAAGAGGCCGCCTTTGAAGTCAACATGGAAGCTTCCACTAGCACAAAATATGGCTGCAGGTTGTACAATCACTTCTGTTTCAGTTGCACTGGCTGTTGATATACTTCTACATTCAGTTGTGATGCTGATGAGCAGCTTAACTATAAAAACCCTCATGGCCTGGGTCTCAATGATCTCAACAAGTACATCTCTTTATATTGTCCCAGCTTCAGTCTCCTCCTCAGGCCCTTTTCTGAATTCCAGCTTCCAGGTCTCCTCAAACTGAAGGCTGTGATACTAAGCTGCCCTTCATTTTCTGTTTCTCTGAAACTACAAGTATCTTTGGCCAGGTTGCTTGCATCCATAGCCAATTTCCAATAACACTCTTCTTTCAGATCCTCAACACAGAAAGCTTTTTGTGTGTCCAGTCTGCCAAAGATGGTTAACATCTGCTCCTGTTTTTTAGCACTTGAATAGTGGATCTCCAAAACTCCTGGGATGTGAAAAGGATCTTCCTTCTCTGATTTCAAAACTTGTTGGGTAGTCACTCCTGCCACCCACACCCCCAGACTATGGTTAAAACATATAAAAATGGAATAAGGTTCTTTATTCCTTTGTCACTCTGGTCTATTGTCTGGTCTCTGACCCATCTGTTTATTCCTTTCACTGACCACTCAGATGTGCTGCACATGCTTCAATTTTTCAGATGTTCCCTGCACTGTATTTTACCTTGCAGAGTTTAGTGTAGCTTAGCAAAGAGCATTCCAAAGACTGTTCTGATGAGGAGCAAGGTTTTGCTCAATTACCCTGAGGTTGTAGAATGGACTTTCCTCAGATTTGTAACTGCTTCTCTATCACTCTTCCAGATAGAGACCAAACATCTCCATTTGGCCTCTCATTCTTTTGGCTAACTTTGTTTGCTTCAACTAATGCTGTTTTTCTGGTTTTGTTGGTTCTAGTTTATTTCTCGTGCATCCTGGTGTGTCTTAAAGCAGCTAATATATGGTTCTAACCAATAAATTAAATAAATATCCCACTGAACATTCAGTGGGGGAACATGCATCACCCACAACAGAACAAGTGGTAAAGCTATTCCTGTACTGTGTTTTGCATGGCTTCAGCCTGCCATTGAAGCTTGAAGCCTTTAAATACATTCCTGTGAAAAAGGCCACCTGCATATATAAAGTTAGCATGTCAGGGAGCAGGCTCAATGGGACCCTGCTTTCTTACATGCTAAATTTGTAAATAGAGAGGATTTTTTCTCCTGTGAAGGAGTGCTAAAACATACAAAATTCCCTTGTTAGACTGAAGTTATGATATTTCAAGAGGTTGCTTTTTGATGAAGTCATGATTCTAATCTATGCAAAACATTTAGATTGTAATATATCTTAGAAATTGGCTTCTACATGAAATAACTAATTTTCAAATTTTGTTGTTTGTACACAGATATCAGGGTATGAGGTGTGCAATCCTTTTTTGAGGTAATGTTTTATCTAGAACCTCACTATTATATAGTGAAGCTAAAACTAAACTAGAAATAACTGTTATATAATTCACTATAAGAATAGATAAAATTCAATATACATTAATGAAATTTCAGAAGCAATTCCTGAATTTTCAGTCTAAAACTAGACAGACAGACAGGAGATCATTATACTTACTCAGTGGGGTGAACAATACTACTCTAACAGTATCAGGTACTGTTGCATCAACTACACACAAAGTATTAATATAGGGTTGTTGTTGTCGGGTTTTTTTGCTTTTTAAAAAGGTCAAGAACTTCCCAATTTAAATTGTGCACTAATTAAATTTAAATCATTTCCTCTAAATCTGAGAATAGCATTGAAGTGAACTAATCAGATCCTTCCCATGCCAATAGGGGCTCTAACTATTCCACTGTAGCTGGAGTAGTTCTTTGGCATCTCCTCGAGGCAGCACCTGGTTGGTTAAGCTCACAGCCATACTTGTCTAAACTGAAATGATACATGGCTATGACCTCAACCATTTTGACAGCATTTTCATTGATTTATTATATTTCTATACTGCCAAATAGCCAAAGTTTTCTGGGTGTTTCACAGCATGATAAACACAATACAAAAACTTTAACATTCATAAATTTAAAACCGCTTAAAAGCAAGTTATAGCAATTGACAGTAGCATTACCAGGACCTGATAAGAAATGGAAATGTCCCATGATATTAAATTTAAATCTGTGGCAAGGCTTGCTGCTGCAAGTCTGTTGTCATTGCCAGTTGGCTGTCCCAGGAGTATTTGAGGGTCCTGGGTGTATACACGATGCCCTCACCCAGCATCACCTTTGGACATAAACCAGTAAATTTTGTAGCAAGGCCCAGGGACCTTATTCTTGTATCACCAAGAAGAGACAGCTAGCAGACCAGACCCTTCCTGCTTCATAGCATCCTCTAAGTGGCAGGAAGATAGGCTGTAGCTGGTCATCCCAGATGAGTAATCCCAGCCTATACATGCGAGAGAGCTATCCTCATCTAAGACCAGATGAAATCCTCTCTCTGTTGTATCTACAATAACTTGGGCTTGTTTGGAGTAAATCTCATCTCATTTTCCATTATTAATGAACAAACCATCTCCATACATTGGTTCAGGCATTCAACAGCCTTGCTCCAATCATATGATTGACAGGTATAATAAAGAAGCTGACGGTCATCTGCATATTGATGGTACCTCAGTCCAAACTTTTGAAAGATTTTTCCTTGTGATGTCACACAGAACTTGAAAGGAATAAGAGAAGATGGAGATGTGACATGTCAATGGATGTATCAGAAGTGGGATGAATCAGAAGTCTCCAAGCACCACCTTCTGAGACTGTTCATCCAGGAAGGACAATTGTACAATTGAAGGATAATTGTAACCTCGTGCCTCTGATACCCAACCCAGATAAATAATCCAGAAAGATGCTATGTGAAATGGCAGTGAGAGCTGATAAAAAGTCCAGGAGAACAAACAGGGTCATACTCTTCCTGGCATAAGTCATTTAATAGGTCAACCCAAAGCCAAATTGAAAAGGATCCAAATAGCATCATCTAACACTACAAGGAGTTTACAAAACAGCACATGATCTGACACTGGTTGGTATTTACCAGAATCTAATGGATCTCAACTGCATTTGTTCACCAGCAGTTACATTGCAGCTTCTTTAAGCTAGCAGGGATCTCTCTGTCCATCACAGTGGCATTAATCACCTTCACAGGCCAAATAATCAGACCAGCTCTGCCCACTTTCAAGGCCAAAATAGCGAACATTTCAGCAAGAAAGAATGTGAAACTCAGAAGTGAGATACAAAAGAGGCTATCTGTGATTCTTTGGTTCTCTATGGAGAAATATACAGTTTGCTTTGGCACTCTAAAACCAACAGCTGAGTTGTCCCTGGAAATTCTGAGCCAGTGCTGAATTGTGTTCATAACAGAGTAGTAGGAAAGTGACTGTAAAGGGTACACATACGTCACCCAAGACTCTATCATTCCCATTGTCCTTAACTTCCAAATTTTACATAATAAAATTTATTTACCTTTTAAAAGGTATGCATCTTATTAAGTGAAACAGAAAAAGTCAAAGCCCTGTACAGGAACAAATTTCAGACAGATGTAATACATGTCAGGACTTACAGTCCTTAAAATGGGGCATTACAGTATCTAAAAAGCGGTTTTTCACTCTTTCCAGAAGAAGCTTATGCCTGCCAGGTCTGCTTAATCCATAATGGACTACAAGACAGTCCATCAGCGTGGTGTCAGTGGGGAAGTGCCTCTGTGCAGAATATATCATTCGTGTATCATTGCTCATTTGGTACAGCGCATCACTCGTCAGACTCATGGGCTGCCAGGCTACATGAGATGCGCTCTCTGCATTGACCTTGCACATGCCTCACTGGACGCTCCAGACATCTAGAGATGATCTTAGCACCCTGGTCTGATCTTCTTTGTCATCTCTTTTCCTTGCAGAGCCAATACCTGTATCTCTGCCCTGGGTAAAATAATAGCAATTTCAGAAGATAACTTTGAGTAACACAGAACAATTTCATATTCAGCACACTCTAGATAATTGTTTGACTTTTCCTCTTCATGTCTAAGCTGTATTTGGAGATTAAATAAAAACAGAAATGTCTCAAACTATTTGGAGGATCACGTTAAACCAAATGGAGTCTGCAACAAAATGTTGCTATCTATCCTTACAGGAGTCTGGTCACCCTACCCTAAACCAAGTGTTCTTTCACCAAGTTGGGTTTGTTGTTGTTTTGATGGGGACATTTCCATCTTGCATTTTTTACAAGATTTGTTGTACTTCTGCTGACCTTGAACATGTGGATACATCTACTCTGATTTTCACTTATTTGCTCTGGCTTTAATCCTATTAACATTCACTACCTAGGTTTTCATTTTGAGAAAATGATTATTTTGCTCCCCCCTCCACCTCACACCCAAATAAATTAAAAACATGCATTGGAAATAGAGTTTAGAGAAATTTCAGTCTTTGGGTTTCATACAATCTTCTCCTCCCTCCTTCACATGAGCTGTGTCCTTCAGTAGGTCCCCAGAAAAAATGAGAACTTCTACCAGGTAGTTGGTGGTAACTTATTTGTTTCCACCTGAACAATGTACAGTTCTATTTTCTGTGTGTTTTATCAGCCGTCCACCCCTCATAACACCGGAGTTAGCAAAGCGCAACCTTCCCTCTGAGAGAAAATTTTAAAATCTGTACACAGCATCCTCAATTCAACAGCACAGATATGACATTCCCCCCAGCAAAAGGAATCTCAGACATCTCTGAGAGTTAGAATGCTACGATTCAGGCCTGCTCCTAGCCATGAAGGAAAAAGTTACTATGCATATACAGCAGGTAACCTAGAGCTGCAACTGCAGTTGGAGCTGCGATGGTTCTGATTTGCTGCAACAGTCACAATAGTGTCTTAAAGTACACTGGGAGTACAGCAGAATCCCAGTTTCCAGGGCATCATGGGGCTAGGGTGTCTTTTCTAGGTGGAACCACACCAAGTTATGGACCACCCCCATAACTGTTCTGTTCAGGCCAGAATAAACTGCAATAGTTGTGTGATTTGCTAACATAAAACAGTAACAAATTTACTGAAATGATATCAGAAAGATAGAGGGGCCTCTTACCACTTATGACAGCTACAGCAGAAACATGCTAGTGACAGAAAGGGATTCACTTCCTCTCCCAGGTTATGGCATTACACTTCTTCCTCTTATATTTAATTTCATATTCTTAATATTTTCCTCCCATGGGATTCAAGTGTTTTAAGTACCAATGCTTCCAAAATACAGATGTGCCCCCTACAAACAAATGAAACTTACTGAATCCATTAATATCTTGGCAGCTCGAGGTAAACACTTCTTCATTATGAACAGCACTGAGTTTTGTAGAAGTCTTGTCTGCAGTGGCAACAGGCCCCATTTCCCTCTGTGTGCTGCTTTGAGTCTCCTTTTGTTTCTTGGCTAATTTCCTTCAGGATGTTTTGAAGAGGGAAGAAATCATGATTAGTTTTTCCCATTAAGCAAATCAAATCAAATCATCATCGGTGGCAGCAACAACAAGAGTAACCCCTTGAAAAAGAACCCCTTTTTGGCTTGGGACAGCATGCAAAGATTGCTGTGAATGTGAAGAGCGTCATGTCGCATCTCCATTGTAAGCATTAGCAATGGAGAGTGCATATGCAAACCAGCAATGGACAGCCATGGATCTCAGGAGCAAATGAAAGTGGGGCTAAGGTAAAGAGAATGTGGCATAATGGAAGAACAGTGAAATAATACCAGATAATTATGTCACTCCAGCCTAACACTGTCTTTTCATATTTTAAGCTACGTCAATTTTATAGCCTAGGTCCAAATCTACTCTCCTGAGAAATACTGTTGGCCTGTCCCTCAGAGACCAAAGCAGAGGGAAAACAGACAGTCAGCTGAGGCACTGGGAAGGGTTTGCAGGTTTAGCCCTGTTTCTCTACCTGTTCATCTCAGGTAATCCTCCTGAAAAAATATGTAAATGTGTGAGGGTGTGTGGGTGTAATTGTCACCCAGGAGACAACCTGACAATGGCATTTATGTCAAGTCTAAGCTGGATCTTTTATTGTCTATATCTGAGTGGGAATGTAAGAGTGGGGAACCCTATGCTGAATAAATTGTGTGTTTTTCTTGTTTTAAGTTTCCTCTTCTTCTTACATCACATATTATATATTCATATATAATAGGTTAAAAGACATTCTTAGTTTGCATCATGGTTCACTTGTGTGAGCCTCTAGGTTCCATTTAACTCAAGATGACAAATTGGGTGGACCCTTGGTATGACTCTTATGTTCTTAAAATGAAGCACAAAATGTAATTTAGAAACTTTCCAAGTGTATAATATTGAGCATCGGGGACTTGCTTCTAAAGTTAGATGGGATCAGAAAATAAGAAAATACATTTCCTGGTTTACTTTCTTAGTTATTCAGAAGGAACCCTGGGGAACTTGTCCATGTCTAGTGATACTGCCTCTCACCTCTTTCCTTGTGGAGTTCATTGAGAAGAACTGTCCATTAGAAAAAGATCACCCTAAGTTTTACTTCATTACAAATAAATATAAGATGTCATTATACTTCATTACAAATAAATACAAGATGCTCGCTTCCTTCCTCTTACTCTAACAAACAGCTTACTAAAAGAAACATTCATGATATTGATATCTCCTGCATGTTGACCTCAGATCATGGAACTGGCAGATCTGCTGGTAATGCTACCTACTTCACCAGTATAGCTGGTAGTAACATTCTACCACCCATCTTAAGTCCTTTTGTGATCTTTGAATAAGAGACTGAGACAGAGCTGCTTTGGATGCAACTTGCACTGAGTCCCCCTCCTACCCTTTGTTCCTTAAATGGACTGTAGACAGGTAGAATAATAAGGCACTGTAACAGAGAGAAGGCACTTTTAATTCACACATCTAGTGACAGAGTATGCACTTTTTTGAGTGTCAGCATCTGAATGGATTGTGAATTGTAGCAAAACTGTCAGCATCAACAGGAACAAATACATAACCAAGATGAAAGATTCCAATTTTTGCTTCTAGTACCAACTATATGAATACTGAGAAGAGTGATCAACTAAGTTTTTTGACATTTGACTGTTCTAGTCTTCATTCATAATGGGGAGCAGAACTCTTTAAAAAACTGAACTATGAATTTCTATATACCAGCAGCTACAGACATCCTTTGTATCACCCAAGACCTTTGCTCACATGCCTTCCTTTTATAAGCAAGAAAATAAAACAAAAGTAAGGGAGGAAGAGAAAGATTGCTGTAAGTAGGGAATGTATAAACTTGTTTCTGAAATATGAATAATGAAATAAAATTATGTAAGGGTTTCTTCCTGTAAACTAAATTGATTTGCTCATGGGGAAGTATTAGTTTAAATCATGCCTGTCTTTTAAGTAAAAATTAAGATGATCCTTGCATAGGAAATCATTTTTTTCAATGATTTATCAACATGCCTATTTAAGGTAGAAGGTAGGCTGCAGATATACCTGTTGTAGGTGTTCTACAACCACAAAGCACCTCTCATGAAGAAATCACCCAGTAGAGCTCAAAAGTTAAACCACACTGGAACAAATAAATAAAGTGTGTGCTGAAGCCTTATCAACCACTAGAAACGAGATGTAGTTTGTATCTGTAACGCTTTCCTGGCAACCACTCTGGCTGCTCCTTTCACAATCATTAGCTGTGAAGCAAACAGCAAGAACCAAATGCTTTTATGAGAGATTCTTGCTATTGATGGTGCCCATGAAACCTTCCTCTGTGCATGTAATGAAATTGCATATTTCACACAAAAGGAGGAAAATACAATTTGTATTTGGTGTTAAGCTTTCATCAATATCATACTCGCAATGCTTGTGAACTGAGCAGCTTCAGGTCTGGCATCAGGAGTCGTATCTTTGGGAACCTGCCCACAAACCACCAGGGGGTTCCCCACTGCTGATAAACTTACAGAGCCCCCTGGCCCCGCTTCTTGCTTTTCTTAGTGGTAGACTTCAGTCAATGCCAGGCACACTTTAGCTGAAAGCCCACACCCCAGCAGGGCTCCACTGACAGGAGCCCGTTGGACTTGGTTCTTCTTTTTACCACTGCAATATGCTTGTTCTCCTGTTTCTCACACTCGTTGTGTTGCATTGTGTTGTGTTGCACTGTGCTGGAGACTGTGAACTCTGGCAAATGCTCATCCAGCTTTCAGAATCCCCACTTCAACAGCCAATAACAAAGCAAGCAAGAGGCACCCGCTAGTTCAAAACTAATCTTGAATTATTTTTGAACTTTCTAATGTGTGCAAATACTTTGCAATTGACACACACACACACGCATTTTCTGAGTGCACCCTTGTACAAAGAAGTCCAAACGTGGGCAGCCTCACCTAGACAATATCCACAAAGGTACCTGCTGACGAAGGGCAGCAGGAAATAACCCTAGAATTTGACTGAGAAAGATTCCAAAGAGCTTTCCTGCCCTTTGATTGGGTCTGGCAACTGTCAGAAGATGAGCTGTTGAGCCCAACTAAAGATCAAAACTGTTAATTATCTAAGCTTATGCAAAGGGGGTGAGGAAGACTGACACCCTTCATTGAACGATGACATTTTTTTTAACACCACTGTCTTAAGTATGTGCTCACTTTTCCACTTCATCCTTAAGGCTTGAGGTGCTTGGTGTATAGAACAGGGAGAGCCACCACAGTTTAAAGAGTTGTCAGTTTTAACAGGCAGTTGTCAAAACTCTGGATCCTTTTAAGCAATATTTTTCCCCTGTCAGGCTCCGACAAGTCCCTTCATCCCCCAGGAACATATGAAAGCAAGAAAACCTCCAAAACTCTGAAAGCTGGTTGTCAGGCAGGGGATCCTGAACAGGGGTGGGCAGCCTCACCTAGACAATGCAAGCCAGAACGAACTCACAGACATGAAGAGGAAAGCGAGACAAGTTGGTCCTGCTGTGTTGTTGCTGGGATACCCATGGAAGGACCAAGGGAGAAGGAAGATCAAAAAGAAGGCAAGAGCATGGTTATTTTTAGGACACAATAACCGACCTCCCCTACCTTCTTGCAAGAATAGGTTGGCATGACCTATAAATACATCCATTGTAATGAATGGGGAACCATTACATGCATATGGACTTCATATGTATCAAGCTGCTACTGAAACTGAAGCAAATGGGAAAGGAACCTCTTTTTAATCCCAAAGTCAACAGGCATCCACTTAATTCATAATTTGCTGAACCCCTGCTTGGCTGGGGTGAGCAAGCCCATTCATACGACAATATAGGTTGCTAAAGGTTAAAAAAACCAGAGCTAATATAGCACGAATTGTGCATTAATGTTGTGTTCTTTAACCTACAAACAATTCAGGTGTTCCGTTAAGATGTCATGATGACAACCTATGAATGGGGCAGTTGTGGGCTACTAAGAAAATAGTAGGTTATCTTACCCACCTGTGGCTAGGTGGGTTATCTTACCCACAAAGTCACATCAAGGGAAAACCAGATCAGTGTTTTGGCTTGGGACAATTGTGACAGGAAAAAATATATAAAAATTACACTGGTAGGGTGCTGTTCTTCGGCCTGAGCTGGAAATGATCTTAAAAGAGCTTAGGACTTTCAAATTATATGGAAGCGATGGCACACCTTTTAGAGACAAAGTGCCCAAACTGCAAACCAAGGCCCAGTTATTTATCAAAACGAGCCAACACTGCAATGAAACCTGAAAAGTGAGGTTTTAGTTTAGAAAAACTCCTCAGAACGAGTCCACGGACTAGGCATTCAGAAGCTCTGACAACTCACTGTTAATCAGTCGTGGCTCGTTTACCCAGTCTAAGTTGCTTTTTTGGCACAGCTCACCATTTCTGCCCAATCTAAATGCATTGCTACCATCAAAACCATGCGTGGACACCACATTATTCTAACCCTAACCTTACCCTGGGGCACAGCCCAAACCCAAATAAAGGGTAAATGTTCCGGCAAAGATAGAGCAATTTTAAAAATACCTACTATGAGTGGCTTTTTCGGCAAAACTCACCAATTCTGCCCATTCCTAGCGCATTCCAACCATCCAAACCATGCCTGGAAACCATATTTTTCTAATCCTAACCCTACCCTCGCACACACCCCTAACCCTAATTTAGGGCGAACATTCCACTGAAAAGAAGGCGATTTTGAAAATGCCTTCTCTGAGCAGCTTTTCCTGCACAGCTCACCATTTGCGGCACCTCTGACCATATTCCAACCATCAAAATCATGCCAGGAAACCAAATTTTTCTAACCCTATCCCTACCCTGCAGCACACCCCTAACCCAAGTAAAGGGTAAAAGTTCCACAGAATAGAGAGCGATTTTGACAATTCCTCCTGTGAGTTGTTTTTTGGCACAGCTCACCAATTCTGTCTAATCTAAATGCATTCCTACCATCAAATCCATGTCTGGACACCTCATTTTTCTCAC